CATGTTGACCAGGATGGTCTCGATCTCTTGACCTCGTGATCCACCCGCCTCGGCCTCCCAAAGTGCTGAGATTACAGGCTTGAGCCACCGCGCCCGGCCGGGTAGGTATTATCTTAGTTTCGCAAGTGAGGAGAACTGAGCTTCAGAAAAAGGGATCTGTCTTAATAACAGACCAAACTGAGTGCTGAACTCCGGCGTTGCTTGGCTTCAAAGCCCATTCCTGTAACCTCAATATTCACAGCCTTGTTTTCTTAAATTAACAGAATGCTACTTCCACCACGTTTAACCACCATTTGCTTTATTCAATTCATTCATTTACCCTAGGTAGCTATTGAGTCCCTACTACTTTAGCTAATAAAACCCACCACGTGCTATGCAGCAGATTAAAAATGAGGATGTACTGGCAAATAAGGGCAGAAGGGATCTAGTCTAGATCCAGGAGCCCTCCAGGCCATGCCACTCCGAAACACACACGAAAACTGCTCTGAACAAATACCAGTAAAACGGTTTGATGGCCACCGGTAACAAGGGGTCGAGATCAGGAGGCCGCTGGTCCCCCAGATGTGTGCGATCACCACCCGCGGCCCGCCAGACCCTCGGCTTCCGATCCAGACTGCAAGAAGCCTCAGCTCCCTGGGACCGACCAAAGGCCAGGGTTGCACCTGGCTCAGAAACAAGCTCCTTGCGGCACGGGACACTCCTTCCTCCACGCGGACCGCGCGAGTGCAATTAGAGACACTGGATTCAAGATGTTTTCAGGAGGAACCATTCCAGCTGGCGCTAATCCCGGCCGGTCCACAGCGCGGACGCCAAAACAGGCACCACGTGGTTCCGGCGCTGGGGCGGGGCCAGAGACGCCGGAAGTGATTTCGTTACCTACAGGCCCGCGGGGCGGCTCACGCTCAGACCGTGGCGACCCAGGCAAAGCGTCCACGGGTGAGTGGTGGGCGCGGGTTCTAGCCTTCTCCTCCGTGCGTCACCCCTTGTCTACCCGCAGGGCCGTCCGCGTGCCCCCTCTCCGCCCACTCCCGCGAGTCCCGCGCCCCTTTCCACTTGTCCCTTCGTCCCCCCAAAGCCCGTTCTGCGCACGCGCCGCGGTCTCCTTTCGTTCTCAGCGGGCCTTCGGGGGCCGGGCCTGGTCACTGCGCGCATTTATCTCAGGTGGCGGGGCCCATGGCTTGCGGAAACCCGGATCCTGTGGCCGGCTTCTTGAGCTGGTGCCGGCGGGTGGGACTGGAGTTGAGCCCCAAGGTGAGCGAGCGAGCGGGCGGGCTGAGGACCCGCGGTGGAGCGCGGGCTGCCCTGACCAGCCCTCCTCCTGCTCAGGTGGAGGTCAGCCGGCAGGGCACGGTGGCTGGCTACGGCATGATGGCCCGGGAGAGCGTGCAGGCCGGAGAGCTGCTGTTCGTGGTGCCGCGTGCCGCGATCCTGTCGCAGCACACCTGCTCCATCGGCGGCCTGCTGGAGCGAGGTGGGCACAGCGGCGGGCGAGGGCGCTGGGGCGGGCCTGAGAGGCTGCGCCGGGACACTCACTCCTTTGTCTCTCTCAGAGCGAGGCGCGCTACAGAGCCAGTCGGGCTGGGTGCCACTGCTGCTGGCGCTGCTGCACGAGCTGCAGGCCGCGGCCTCACACTGGAGGCCGTATTTTGCGCTCTGGCCCGAGCTGGGCCACTTGGAGCACCCTATGTTCTGGTGAGAGCCCTGGGAGGGGTTGGGGAGCGTCTGCACTGTAGCCTGCTGCAGGGACAGAGTCCTCCCCCCAATCCCCCTTAGCACCAGTCCTACCCAGTAAAGTGCGTGGAAGGATGAAGAGAACCTGGGTGTGGGTGTCCCTGCAGGCCAGAGGAGGAGCGCCGGCGCCTGCTGCAGGGCACAGGCGTACCTGAGGCCGTGGAGAAGGATTTGGACAGCATCCGTAGCGAGTACCACTCGATTGTGCTGCCCTTTATGGAAGCCCATCCCGATCTCTTCAGCCTCAGGGTTCACTCCCTAGAGCTCTACCTCCAGCTCGTGGCCCTTGTGATGGCCTACAGGTCAGTGACTGGGGACTCAGAGAATGAAACCCTTTTCTTTATAAGTCTATAGAGGGACAAAAGGGGAAAGACAGTGAAACCCACCTCCAGTCCCTCACCCAAGACAGGGCCTTAGCCAGGTTCTCTCAATGGCAGCTTTCAGGAACCACTGGAGGAAGAGGAGGATGAAAAGGAGCCCAACTCCCCCATGATGGTGCCCGCTGCAGACATACTAAACCACTTAGCCAATCACAATGCCAATCTGGAATACTCTGCGGTGAGTGGAGTTCTTACTGGTGCACTGATTAAGCATGATTCACGCCGTTAGGCTCCATTCTCTTACTATCGCTACAAAATGAGTAGTGAAATCAGCTCCTGTACGCTCCTTTAGTATGCATATTACTGAAGAATCATTTGAATGCAAAACATTTTAAAGTCCTCGAAGTTGAGTTGTGGGTAACCCTCTTTAGTGCTAGCAATTTGGTGGTCTGCATAGCCATGTTTCATTCCCTACTGGCTGCTCATATTTTTGAGCCCAGACTCTGTGTGGCTCTGTGGATAGCAGCCTGGAACAGAGTCTCTCTCTTCTGTTTTGGATGGGTGAGGATATTCACAGGCCAGAGGTCTAAGACCATCCTAGAACTGGTATAAAGCTGTTTATACCAGTTGTATTCTATATGGAAAGTTGCAAGAAAAGATGGCATATTCGTAGGATCAAAAATTAGTATGGTTATTTCTAAATCCTTGCCTTCATTTTCCTTTCCGACTTTGATCTGCAGAAATTTCATCCCCCTGTCTTACTGTGTTGCCCGGGCTGAAGTGCGGTGGCATGATCTCTGTTCACTGCAACTTCTGCCTCCTGGGTTCAAGCAGTTCTCCATGCCTCAACTTCTCGAGTAGCTGGGATTACAGGTGCCTGCCACCATGCCCGGCTAAATTTTTCTATTTTTTCTGTGGAGACAGGGTTTTGCCTTGTTGGCCAGGCTGGTCCTAACTCCTGACCTCATGATCCACCCACCGTAGCCTCCCAAAGGGCTGGGATTACAGGCGTGAGCCACCATGCCCAGCCAGAAATTTCATTTTTAGAGCTACNAAAAAAGAAGAAAAAACTTTGCCCCCATTTAATGTGGTTCTGTGTGTTCTGTGTGTTCACACTGAATTTATCCAACCCCTGAAGAAGAGCAAGGGGTAACCTTGGAAAGACAAGGCCTACTCTGACTATTTAGAAAATTCTATCATGTAGGGCTAGAGTAAAACATAATGCAACATTTAAACAAAACCAAGGAAAGTACCAAGAAAGAGCTACCCACTTTTTAAGTGCTGAAGATGACTGTGCAGAAATCCACCCAGTTAAACATGAAGCTGGCCTTTTAAAGCGAGCCTGACCCTTTTTGTTTCACAGTTCAGGGTCTAACAGGAAATAAAGGTATAACTTTGGTAGTTAACAGCGTCAGTCCCATGGCTGAACTACACCTGCTGAAGGCTCTTAAGAGGAAGTAATCTTTATGGGGCCGGCCTGTTAAAGACATGCCCCCAGCTTCTCCCTTTCACCTCAGGATTGTCTTCGGATGGTAGCCACTCAGCCTATTCCTAAAGGCCATGAGATTTTCAACACTTATGGGCAAATGGCTAACTGGCAACTGATTCATATGTACGGTTTTGTTGAACCATATCCTGACAACACAGATGACACAGCTGACATTCAGATGGTGACAGTTCGTGAGGCAGCATTACAGGGTGAGTGTATCATTAATCTTTGACACTGATGGCAGTATCTGTACCCATACCTTGGGTTAAATAGCCTTGCTAAAGAGCAGTTGACTTTGTTGACTAGGTGGTAAAGATAAGAGCTCTTAGGTGTACTAAGACTTTCACATTGCTATTTCATCTACAGGAACAAAAACTGAAGCTGAAAGGCTCCTAATGTATGAGCGCTGGGATTTCCTATGCAAACTGGAGATGGTAGGGGAAGAGGGAGCTTTTGTGATAGGGAGGGAGGAGGTGCTGACTGAAGAGGAGCTGACCACCACACTAAAGGTAAAAGGCTGAAGATGGCCATTTAATGCTGATTTGAGTATTTAAAGCAAAATAGCTAGAAGATAGAGGAAATGTGAGATTTTTAATAAATGCTGAGTTTCGTCTCCTGAATCATTTCAGAAGTATGCAAATAGTGCATCCTAATTAAAGGGCTCTGTGGTTGCTTCTAGGTACTGTGCATGCCTGCTGAAGAGTTCAGAGAGTTTAAAGACCAGGATGGAGGGGGAGATGATAAAAGGGAAGATGGCAGCCTGGCGATCAACAACATTCCCAAGCTCAAAGCATCGTGGAGACAGCTGCTTCGAAACAGCATTCTATTGACCCTGCAAACCTATGCCACAGACTTAAAAACTGACAAAGATGTACTCAGCAATAAGGAGGTCTATGCTAAACTCAGCCGGAGGGAACAACAAGCCTTACAGGTTCGCTATGGTCAGAAGATGATCTTACATCAGTTGTTGGAACTGACAAGTTAGCAGTTTCCCTATTCCCTGAAGGAACAGCAATAAGAACTTCAATAATCACTGATGTTTGAAAAAGAGGAAAATTTGGATCTTACTAAACACCAAAAGGGAAAGAGGCAAAGGTGGTGTACCAGGATAAACTGAGGTAAGGGTGGATGTGTTTAAGGATTGAGAACAGCAGACTTGGCAATCACTGCTAATTGTTACTTAACACGTTACAAATATTTGGTTAGTTTTAACCAAAGCCAGTGGAAATATGGTAGTAATAGGTCTTGTTGTGTTCCAGAGCATTTAGAGTGTGTGTGTGCGCGTGCGTGCGTGCGGACAGACTTTGGAAGTAGACCCTACTTTAAATCTAGGTCTAGTTTGAGGAAGTCACTTAACCTTTAAAAGACTCTCAGGATTTAATAAGCTGTGTAACTGGCACTCAATGATCGCTTACCTGAAGTTCATGCTAGATGGCACAAACCACCCCTCAGGGAATAAACCCTAAGACATCATTCAAGGAGGACTTCAGTTATTTAATTTAGAACCTTTTTGTCCTCTCTGGCAGTAAAACTTGACAGTCATGAAAGGTAAGTCCAATTTTAAGTGGGTTAAGTTTTAAAATATGTATCATCTACTCATTTTCTTTAAAAAAAGACACCAAAATACCTAAGGTTAAAGGATATTAAAGAAAACTGGGCATTTTAAATTCAGTTTAACCAGAGAAACCTGCTTCAGCAATTTTCCAGTGTTGAAATAGGAAGAAAAATACAATTTCCTTTCTTAAACATGCCAGTTTAGTAGTGGGAATGACCTATCATTCAGCAAGAAGTTGGTGGTTCCCAATGGCCCCAAGCTCTGCAAGGGTGAACTGTCCACTTTTCCTCTTCACGTCAGCACTGGCTGCTGCTACTGAGAAAGGCACAGTGGACTCACGTGTGTGTCATGACTTTAATGGTTGGCTACAGTATGCATACACATACAAGAAGTAGTAGGGGAGCTGAAGCCCAAGAAAGGCTACAAAATACAACACAGGGACCAATACATTAGCAAAACATTCAAAATCCTTATTTAAAAAAAAAAAAAAAAAAGGCTGTATTGGTCATTTCATCTTGGTCATATTCAGCTTAGCCTGTATGGCCATTCGGTGGAGTAATGGGGGAGGGCAAGTCATCAGATTTGGTTCCCTTTCCTGTATTCCCACAGTTTATAAAAGTTTCAGGAGAGGGATGGGGGGGTGAGGGTAGGGGGTGGGATTTAAGTCTGGTCTGGTTTCCCTTTATATAAAAGAGCTGACCCCCATCTCACATGGCTGAGGTATATATTCCCCAAAAGAAATAAAATGGTGCAAATGCAGTCAGCTTTAGAATGGGTTTGGGTAGAGACAAAACAAACTCAAGGGATTCTAATAGTGAGCTCTTCCCATGTTCCCGGACATATCAAATTCTAGCACATCCAGATTTTTAATAACTTAGTGATTTTCAGGGTCCCCTGTCCACATTAAAAAAATAAGTTACATAATAAACTGGCTTTTTGCTATTCTTTGGGACACGAGGAATGTCAGACGACATGGAGCTATGCCCTCAGACAAGTGCATGGCATCAGCTGCCTCTTTATTATTACAAGGTACCAGTTTATGTACTTGCCTTGGACACAGCTTGCACAAACCCAAGAAGTTCCAGACAAAGGTTTTTCTCTTTCATATATTTACACAAGTTCAAAATGATATTCACAGCATCTTCTAAATTTTGGCCAAGAGTCCAAAAAAAAAAAAAAAAAAAAAAAGTGAAAACAGAATCCACATAAAAAAGAAAATATTTATAAAATATACAAAAAAAAAAAAAAAAAAAAAAAAATGCGTTTAAACTTTGGAACGTGCCCACATAAGACAGGAGGCTGATCCCAACAGTAGTTGGGGCAGATACCCGCAAACCAAAGGGCTGGGAAAGTCAGGAACAGCTGAAAGGATTCTTCAGTTTATGAACTTGGTGCAGTGAGACCGCTAGGGTGACACATACAACAGAGATGCAGTTTCATCTAACTGGCACCTGTCCCTTCCATTACTTGCTGGGCCTGCTTCTGTCCCATGCAGCACTGTGCCACCGACTGGAATAACCTGAAGGGCAAAGACAGTTACAAATTTGTGATTAAAGAGTAGGCCTAGCAATACCTTGCATCTCATTTGCTTTAGCTATTAATCACTGACCCAACCTAGAGACAAATGGTTTTCATTCTTCAGTCTCATTACTAGACAATTAATTACTTTTAACTCACTTCTCGATTTCTGGGGCACAGTGTACAAATTCATGGTTCCAGAATTTAAACGCTGGGTTTTTAATCAGCTCAATGAAGGTAATAAGAAGACCCCAAGGATGTGGCCTATTTACAATCAACCGTTCCAAGAGAACTCTGAAAAGGGAGAAAGAGCTAGTTAATGCAGAGAAGCATACAAATTCATGATTATTCTTCCATTACCTTTTTTCCCTAACTTCTCCCTCATTATTGAACCACATGCTAAAGTTTTCACCTTTAGTAAAGACCTTTAGTCAAAACACTCCCAATAGCATGGGTTGGAATAACTGGGTTTGAAACCCTGTTCTTAGCCCTAGAAGAACACATATTAATGTAAAGTGCAGATAACAGCATGTATATCAGAGCTGTTCAGAATAAGGGGTGATGGGGGAGAGGAAGCCACATAAAGCCAAGAGTACATGGCACACATATTACAAAAAGTAGTAACTTCAAGAATGAGCTCCCAGGCCTGGTGCAGTGGCTTATGCCTGTAATCCCAGCATTTTGGGAAGCAAAGCTGGGTGGATCACGTGAGGTCAGGAGTTGGAGACCAGCCTGGCCAACGTGTTGAAATGCCATCTTATTAAAAATACAAAAATCAGGCGTAGTGGTTCATGTCTGTAATCCCAGCAGTCAGAGGCTGAGGCAGGAGAGCCTCTTGAACCCAGTAGGTGGAGGTTGTGGGGAGGCGAGATCGTGCCACTGCACTCCAGCCTGGGCAACAGAGTGAGACTCCATCTCAAAGAAATAAAAGAATGAGCTCTCAGTGAAAAGTTAGGAAATAAGAATTTTAACACTACTAGTGCACGTGTAAATTGGTAAAATTTTTCTGAATGCCAGTTAAGTATTGGCTTAACTTTATATCCTTTCACGTACTAACTGTACATGAAGCATAACAAAGATAAGTACCAGGAGACTTACTGCAGCTTTATATAAACAAAATGGAACAAACACATCATCTAAGCATCCAATAAGATATTTTGGTACACAAATCAAAGGAATACCATATTTAGCACCATAGGTACAACTTAATTAGGCAAATAGGCAAGTTTCAAGAGTCTGGCCCAATTTTTAAAATATAAGTGTGTATATATCTATCTCACTAACAATCTCTCCAATGCTATATATAGCCTAGGCAATCCAGCAACAGATTCCTAACTATTGTAAGGAAAATGCAAGTATGATCCTGTTATTACTACTGCTTTCAACCCAGAGTTAATGAGGAAAAAGTCCAAGGTCCTTAACATCGTCTTCCATAGGCCTACATGACTTAGGACTAGTTATCACCACCACCTCAGAGAAACTCTGACCTTTAATCAAAATGTGCCTTGTGGTATAAACTACTTTTCATTTAAGCAATGATTATGATTTCTAATTCTCTACTTGTGATATGTGTCCATCAGAATGAGTATTAGGAGGGCAGGAACCATCCATTTTGCTCACAATTGTATCCCACATTTAAAAGATTATTGGACATGCAGGAGATTTTCACTGAAGACTGGGTGCAGTGGCTCAAGCCTGTAATCCCAACACTTAGGGGGGCTGAGGTGGGCGGATCACTTGAGGTCAGGAGTTCAAGACCAGCCTGGTCAACATCCTGAAACCCTGTCTCTACTAAAATGCAAAAATCAGCTGGGCATAGTGGTGGGCACCCGTAATCCCAGCTACTTGGGAAGCAGAGGTTGCAGTGAGCTGAGATCGCAGCATTGCACTCCAGCCTGGGCAACAGAGCAACACTACACATCAAAAATAATAATTTTAGATAAATAAGATTTTTACTTAACATTGAATGCATAGGAAAACAAAAACCCAAGCCTTTAAGATGAAAGGACAGGGGGACCATTTTGAAGCATTTAAAAAGTAAGCTGCTCTCTTACCTTGTGATCTGTTCTTGGATAGCTTCTGTATTGGCCTCTGCAAAAAGGTATAGCATGGTGCAACTGAAGTAGTGAGTGTGGCTATTTGGGTACCGGAGCTGATTTGCAATTGCATTCAAAAAGAGATAGCGACCTAGAAATTAAGAAACCTTGAGTCTGAAAAGTCAACATAGGAAGACAGTTCTAATTAATCTTTGGTTTAAAGCTGTGGTTCTCCGGACCCCAAAGAGTTCTCATTTCTGTAGGTTTTATTTCAGTATTTTCCACGTTGGTAATTAGATTTTTAAAATATTTATTCATTTTTAAAAAGAGACTCATTATATATTAATAGAAGTAACATGAAATATTTTCCGGTGACACTCTTCAGAGTTTTTCTACATTTTGCAGATCTTTAATTCTTGCTTAATAAAAGACAGCTGGATTCTCATTTCTGCTTCCATGTTCAACTTGTTATTACGGTGTATTTTTTGTAACCTCTGAGAAATTCAGCTGTATACTCGTGACAGAATAGATCCAAAACAGCAAATATTGTCTTATGAGAGAAATGGTTTTGGCTGGAGGCAGCAGCTCATGCCTGTAATCCCGACACTTTGAGAGGTTGAGATAAGTGGATCACTTGAGGTCAGGAGTTCAAGATCAGCCTGGCCAACACAGTGAAACCACATCTCTACTAAAAATACAAAAATTGGCTGGGTGCAGTGGTGCATGCCTGTAATCCCAGCACTTCAGGGGACCGAGGTGGGTGGATCACCTGAGGTCAGGAGTTTGAGACCAGCCTGACCAACATGGTGAAACTCCGTCTCTGCTCTGCTGAAACAAGACTGAAAAGGGCCAGACACGGTGGCTTACACCTGTACTCCCAGCACTTTGTGAGATTGAGGGCAGATCATGAGGTCAAGAGATCGAGACCATCATGGCCAACACAGTGGAGCACTGTCTCTACCAAAAATACAAAAACTAGTCGGGCGTAGTGGCAGGCACATGTAGTCCCAGCTACTTAGGAGGCAAAGGCAGGAAAATCACTTGAACATGGGAGGCGGAGGTTGCAGTGAGCCAAGATCGCACCACTGCACTCCAGCCTGATGACAGAGTGAGACTTCATCTTAAAAAAAATTAGGTGGGCATGATGGCACAGGCCTGTAATCCCAGCTCCTCAGGAGGCTGACGCAGGAGAATTGCCTCTGAACCCAGGAGGCAGAAGTTGTGGTGAGCCGACATTGCCCCACTGCATACCAGCCTGGGTGACAAAGCAAGACTGTCTCAAAGAAGTTTTGAACTCACAGCCCTCCTAAAAAGGTCTTGACACCCTAAGGGTACACACACCACACTTTGAGGACCATTAGTCTAAACTACTTTGGAATAAATACTATCTTAATTGGGTCTGGTTATCTGCCTCTGCTAATTACTCATGTTTGTGAGTTTATTACAGTGACACATTTCTCCAAAGGCTGCCATCCTTTTATTGCTGAGCTCTGGACGTGATGGTGTTCAATTTTATATCTTGAATTTAAGCTGTCTTAAATCCATCCTATATAGGCATCAGCATATACGCGACATTAATTCACCTCTCAAGAATCAGTAGCAAAGTTAAGAGTAATGCTCCCACCTAAAGTGTATGTATGCAAAACCTGGACAGGACTGTACAACTAAACGGCACCTAACTGGGGTCTCTATTATATAAGAAGAGTACCAAAAGAAATGTAGCTCAAGCAGGAAAGCTGCAACCTTCAACAGGGAATTATACTGTAAGCTTTCTGCAGAACAGGAGAGTCTTACTCACTAATTTTATACACAAACATTTAACAAGATGCCTACCAAACAGGCACCAATAAAAATGCTTATATAAGGCAGGCTAACAAAACACTGCCACAAGAGCCTATGTTTAAAGGGACTACTGAATAAAAGGAAGTTTATTTTCACACTAAAAACTGCAGTCACATACACCAAAGCTGATACTGCAGGATTCTAGAGAATCCTTTCCTTTGTGCTTTTTTGTATTTTCTGCACTGAGTAGATAATGTCCAATTAAAGATAATCAGCCAGACCTGTGAATATACTGACAGAACTTTCCTTCACTATTGTGGCTTGAAGCATTTGTATATGTTTGCCATCAGACTGTAGCAAAAAGCACAAGAGAACTCTACTCAGAACTGGCAGGCTTCACTCACCCTCAGTGTCCAAGTCCACAGCCAAATTCTGGAAGATATCCATGTGTGCTGAATGAGTGATGGTGCTCATTGAAGGCGTGCTGCCCTTGTTGTGAATGTGCGCAATGGCCTGAGTCCCTACATAGAGCACCAGTGCATTGATGAGCTGGAGGTTGTAGCGATTCCCAGGTTCATTGGATACCTTAAATGAGCAAAGCAGAACTCCTTATGCTTACTCCTGCAGAGGACTGACTGATTCTACCCCAGTATTTCTAAGCCCTTCTTACACCTTTGTGGAAAGGCTGAACATTTATTGTGATTCACTTGCATGAATTTGTGAGGTTATTTAACAAATTACACAGATGCTCCAAACGTGGTTGTACCAATAAGAGAAATGTGATTTCCCTCAGGAAGCCAAAGCTGCTCTCACTGTACTCATGACACAGATCTAAAGTTAAGTTTATAAAATCAAAATATGCACTGTGCCAATTAAATATTTGGAAAGTTGTGGTTGCACAGCATAGATTGTAAATACATAACTTTCAAAATATCCTATACAGAAATGTGAATCAGCATCCATTTATTTAGAAAACTCTTGAGAGTACAAACAGCTAATGACTGTCAGTGGTCCACTGTCACAGGATTCTCATCCAAAGCTGTAGCAAAATATCACTGATGAAATGAACTTGTAAATATATAAATCCAGTTCAGCTCACCCAACTGATGGAAATGACAATAAAAGACTTAACTCCAAAATGGACCATACAGACAGAGAAAGTGCTTTCTATGGAAGACAGAGCTGAATTTTAAGCCAAATGAATTAACCTGTAGGTTGCTGCGCAGATCAGACAAAAAAGTGACTGGTGATCGAGTTTTAAGATAGGAATCCAAATCCTTTTTGAACTGAGGTGGCATTACTCCAGTGAAATTGGTGAGAATCCGGGGAGCAATGTTAATTTCACTCAGCATGTCCACCTGCCACAGACAAAAATGCAAGAATCACAGATTCATTTGTATTAGGAAATTACACCTATGCTAAAAAGTGGTAGAACAGTTTTTCTAAAACAATATACACTATAAATACCTTGAAGAGCACAGCTGCCACATTTTATTACTTTTAATCAGTCTTTCTTTAATTAGAAGAATCTTGGTAGAAAACAATAGAAGTTGTTCACTCTATAATGTATTTCCTTTCCAGAAGCAAGATACCTTTTGGGCAAAAGTCTAATTTGCAAAACTAACTGATTTTTCCTGGACTTGGATTTCAAAACAAGAAATCAGAATAAGATTTCTCACTCATCATGACTCCGAAAAGAAGCCTCAGCAGGACAAGACAACACACTGAGTCCTTTTTGAAAAAATGCATGTGACACAGTAGAGACTACATTTAAACTACAGCTGGGCACTTCTAGTGGTGTGCACCTCTAGTCTCAGCTACTCTAGAGGCTGAGGCAGAAGGATGGCTGGAGCACAGGAGCTTGAGGCTAGAGTACACTATGTTCACACCTGTGAACAGTCACTGCCCTTCAGCCTGGGCAACATAATGAGACCCCCGTCTCTTAAACCACAGTAGCCACATCAGAGTGGTGAGATTTTAAGTGGTCCTTTCTCTCCTTTATTCCAACAACTGAAAAAACATACAGTGGGTTCTCCATATCCTCAGGTTCCACATCCAATTAACCTCAAGTCGAAAATATGGGGGGG